CAGATGAGGAAAGGATAAAGCCTAAACGGAACTTCAAGTTAAGCAGGTGTGGTTGTGAGGCTATGATCGGATTCAAAAGGCAAGATGACGGCAAATACGAGGTTGCCCGATTTGTCCAATCGCATACGCATCAACTTATTTCGCCAAGTAAGAGACATCTCATTAAGTCAAAGAGAGAAGTAAGTAGTGAGTTGAGGACAAAATTACTTACATGTCATAAGGCATTGGTTGGCACATCTGCAGCATATCGCTTGCTTAGTGTAGAGAAGGGGGGCCAAGCAAATGTAGGTTGCACAAAGCGTGATTTACAAAACTGCCACCGTGATTTTAAAAGAGCAATTAAGGGAGCAGATGGACAGATAATAGTAGATATCATGAAGAATAAGCAAGCTGCCAATCCAGCCTTCTACTTTGATTACCAACTCGATGAGAATGATAAACTTACAAATATTTTCTGGGCCGATAGTATATGCAGAAAAAACTACTCATTGTTTGGTGAAGTGGTGTCTTTCGACTCCACATACCGCTTTAATAGGTATGACTTGGTGTTTGCCCCTTTCACTGGAGTTAACAACCACAAATCTTGTGTTACATTTGGTGCTGCTTTTTTATGGAATGAGAAGCAAGAATCTTATATATGGTTGTTCAAGACTTTCTTAAAAGCAATGTGTGGGGTTGCACCTAAGCTAATCATTACCGATGATCAAAGCATGAGAATAGGGATAGAACATGTTTTCCCGAACACTATACATAGACTTTGCATGTGGCACATCCTCATGAAGCTTACGGAAAAAGTTGGTGCGACCCTAAAAAATAGTCCAGATTTCCATGAACAGTTTATGTCATGTGTTTGGGGATCAGAGACACCAAACGAGTTCGAGTCAAAATGGTGTTCAATAATTAATGATTTCGGGCTAGATGATAATACATGGTTGTAGAAGAAGTATGAGTTACGACGATCATGGATTCCGGCATATTTTACTGATTTCCACCTTGGCGGAATCTTGCGTACCACATCAAGATCTGAGAGTGAGAATACATTCTTCAGACACTTTACTAACCGGAACCTTGCCTTGATTGAATTTTGGGTCAGATTTGAAACAGCTTTGGAGGAACAACGGCAAAAAGAATTACAAGAAGATAATGCTAGCCTTCATACACTGCCTATACTCAAGACTTGTTGGAGTATCGAGAGTCATGGTAGAGAAGTGTATACTCATGAGGTTTTTGCTGAATTTCAGAGTCAGGTGCTAGCAGCGAGGGATTATTGTCATGTCAAAACAATCACGCAGATTGGTGAGCTCCGCACCATCAGCATTAGCAGCAACAGTGGCAAGGTTAGACAAGTTAGTTTCAACACTAGCACTAAGGAAACACACTGTTCTTGTAGGATGTTTGAATCCTTGGGTATCATTTGCCGTCGCATCATTGTTGTCCTAAAGAATGAGGGCTGTAATGAAATTCCTAGTCAATATGTGCTACATAGGTGGACTAAAATGGCTGCGCGACACCTTGCCTATGATGCCAACGACCATGAGCTACAAGGGTCATCTACATGTCTTCCACCTGTCATAAAGAAGTTGTACGCGGAAACATGTTCAAATTTCAGCCTGGCATTTCATGTCGCAAAACATAGTGAGGAGAAGATGAGATATCTTCACAAGGCTATTGGTGATGCCTACACACAATTGGGGCAGGAGGGAACAGTTAGTGAGCAAAGTAAAGTTCAAGAATTTGAATCCTTCGTTGGAACATCATTCCCAACTGTGATCAACATTCACCCACCAGATGTAGCAAAAACAAAAGGGAGTGGTAAGAGATTGAAAAGGGGCTCGAAGCAGACCGTGACCCAAAAGAAAAAGAGGTAAAGTGACGAACCATGAAAATTTTGTTCATGCCCTTTCTGAAGTTGTACTAACATGGTTTTGTTACTCTTTACAGGGCCAAAGAGCATCACAAAAATAAGTAGTTGTGGTGGTCTCACTGATGCGATGTTGGAATAATTATTTTTAGTCATTTTGTGTAGACTTGGTATAGTGGAAATCAATCCATTCAAGTCTGTGCTTCTCTGTCATTTACGCACTTTGATTGTTCCAGTGCAAAATGGCCGTATGTAAGAAGTGAATTTGCCATGCCAAATATATGCAACAAGTTATGTAATCCTATTATGGTACCCGTTACCATGATCTGTGTATAAGTGTACAATTTATGTTTGGTGATGCGATGCAAAAATGGAGATGCAATTTGCAAAAGTTGACTGAGATTGCCTGTTTTGGCATGGAACGCCTACTTTTTGCCATAATTATACAAGATATGGTCGATAATACCATGTCTTATTTTCAGGAATATTTCTAGATGACGGTTCTACAACAATGAATTGATCAAAACTCTGACACCAGGCCTAAAGTTTGAGAAATCTCAAAATGTGCAATGCAGTAGAATATGTAACATTCTAGATGTATAAAAAGCTGTACTGCTTTCCAAGTAGCAGCATTAATCTGTTGTAGATTGTACATGAAGGCATGTCTCATCTTCATTTATATATTTATTTGACCGAGCTTTTGTTTTAAATTGTGCATAGCACCTGATAAAATTGGTAGATGTGCGGTTGTAGTAGCTTATGTAACTGTTGCGTGATCGCTCATTGCTGACTTTGGAAAACAATCCAAAATTTCCATGTAATATTTTCTTTGTACAATAAGAAAGCTGAAGCAACTTTATAAATAATTGTTTCTGTTGAGTTGTTTCGTAAGTGAACCAAAGAGATTTTATTTTGCAACATTTTTTACGGAATTCGAGTGATTTTGAGCTTCCTGTGGTGATTCTGGAGAAGCCTGCCTAGGATCAGATTAGTTCATCTCTAAAAGCTACAAGGTGTATTTTCTGGAAGTATACCATCATCTAGTCTAATTATATAATTTTGCTGACCATCTTGGGAATTACTTTTCATCACGTCTTTCATGCAAGAACAATAGCTATCAAGAGATCTCTGAACACATTTTCTTTAGATTCTTCCATGCATCACAAGCATCCACATAAATTGTATGACAACCACACATCTAAAGTACAAAAAGCTTGCCATATTTTTTCTAACAAATGTACATTCTCGCTGATTACATGGTGCCAAAGAAAACAAAGCCTGGATAACCAGATCGGAACTAGCACAAGAGGTGAAATTATCAGTTTCATCATCTGTCATCTTGGGAGACATGAAGATAACTCCTACGAAGATTACCCAACCATAATTCATCAGCATTGGCTGATTCTTTGACCTCCTAGTTCATGCCTCCAGCTAATCGGTTTGAAGCCTGGTGAAGATGCGAAGGAAGGCGATGCTTGCATTTTTTCCATGCTTATCAAAGGCAAAAATATTGTTGGAGCGGGCAAGATGGCCCTGAATCTGAATAGTAGCGAATAGTCTGCTCTGGAACAACCATAAAACCATGATATAGAAAATAACGATGGATTATCCTCTATAAAGGGGTTGCTACATATAAAACATGGATTCCAAAGTATCAGATTTTTAGAATATAAAGGACAGTTCACTACTAGAGGAAAAAGTGATGCAACATTGGAGATACATATTTGTTTTGGCTCGGCGGTAGTCAGATAAAGAAGTTTTTGTTAAGTACTGAACGTGCAATGCTGATCAGTCCTTTTAGAACAACCATCAGTCAGTCGTACAATACAAGAAACAAAATGGCAGCTACTACTTATAGCTAGTGACCAATTATAGGAACGTTCAATCTATGAGGTTTTGCAGATATATTATAAGGAACACCGACATTTTGCAAGCCATGGGTTACTAACCTGCATGAAAATAGGGAGTACATCCCTTGTAATTGACATGAAGATTGTACAAATATACTGCTCGTATGTTAATTTGGTACCCACAACACACTATTTCAATTCTGAATCAACAAAAGTATGCCTTTTCAGTCAACTAGAACAACATTGCTCATGCTTATCTCTCTGCCACTGGTTTAAGCAGAATGGGGGAAAGGCGTGGACGAAATTGTAATAGCAAAAATACCCTTAACAAATGGATAAAGGAAGAAGCAAACATACCAAGATCCTTGAGCTGCTGCAGATGGTCAGTGCTGCTGACGGCGGTGGCGGTGGTAGGTTGAGTCGCCGATGCGCTCACAACGAGCGACCACTGCCAAAGGCGAAATCAGGGCACTCTTCAGATGTTCCGGTGGTAGGCTGCTGCTAGAAATTTCAAAAACGCAGATATTTGAGTGAGACGTCGCTCGATTGGTACAGGATTGAGAGAGATTGAGTGAAATTTACTAACCCAAAATCGCCTGGCGGCTGGCGCATTGGTACAAAAGAGGGAGAGAGCGGCGATTGGATTCAGTGAAGATCTTGAGGGAGGGAGATTGGTTCTTGAGCTCGCTGGGCCGTAACCCTAGCTCGCGGCGGTGGCTGTGCTGGTACAGGAGATGGAAGGAGAGGGAGACGACCTTGAGTGCAGGCGGAGGTCAATTTACTTGATTTACCTATGCTGCAAGGACTGTTTTGAAAATGTACCAGCAGACCCATTTTCTAACCGATCTGGTCCCTGTCTTTTGCATCCAATGGCCCATATGTCGCTGGTGCACTCGGCGCATCAGTTCGCTCGTTTCACCAGATACATTCTCGGTTCAACAAATAAGCATGTTTCATGTGACTCTTGGGAGATAAAAAAGTTCATGCAAACAAGTTATGCTGTGTGTTGGGTGTGTACAAAAAATGTGGCATTCCTTACAAATACCCAACGTGTCACACTACTATGCGGTACAACTGCACGCTTCATGATCCATTCAACGGCAAAGCTGCTCTCTCCCAAAAGAAAGGAAAATGAAAGAAGAAGAAAGCTGCTACACACACGAGTAAACAAATTTTTTTGCCCCTTATTGTTTCTTTGCTCTTAAACGAGCGGAAGCTGGGCAACATGTCGAAGGGAGTAGCGGAGCAGTACGCATTATTTCTTCTGAGCGTTAGTCGTGACGAGTCTGCTAGCTAGAGAGTGTAGGCGACGATTGCTGGTATCGGTTAAGGTCATCCCAGACCAAGTGCTCGACCTCCTCCCACGACGTTGCAGCTCGCAGCTCTTTCCACAGCCCGAATATAGCTGCCAGCACGTTGTCCTCGTGCAGCATGCAGTAGCACCTGCAATGTAAGAGCACCGCGCATCAGAGCCAAACATGTTTCTCCCTCCCTTGGGAGACCGAGCGACTGACAAACCAACAAGGATCACTGATCATTCCGAGATAGAGCGCAGGGAAGGATAAAACACGGATAATGTGGGCTGCTCTGATTTATTTATGCATGTATGCACTTACATCGCGCGATATGACGCAGTGCTGAACTTCGAATTTCGCACCGACTTGTAGATATCATTGTTTGATTTCCCTCTCAGGAAAGGAAGCTGGTAGCTTCTTAGGTACTCCCTGAGAAGATCAATATCCCCACGGAAAACATCCAGGTGCAGCGGAATCAAGTCACATAGAGGATCCCCTGTTACGACAAACAGTTTTTGGTCGCAATCAAATTAAGATCAAATAAATATAAACTTTGATTTACAATCTAACAGAAGTTTTCACAGTGCAGACTGGTAGATATGAGCAGCTCAATTTAAGCATTTTTACAGATATATAGTTATCCCATCTTCGGTTTCAGATGCCAGTATTACGCAAACTATTTTGTTAAATGTTCAAATAAAGCAATGTCAGATTTCCAGGGAACAAAGTGAACTGGCCGCTTACCGATGGACAGATCACTGAAGTCAATTATATTAATTGCATCCAGTTTCTCCAGATCTCTCTCACAAGTGCTTTTGGCATCAGTGAGGGACCTCTGAGTAAGAATGTTATCGTCCATAATATCTGAATGTATCCAACAAGGGAATGTGTACACTGAGTCACCATCGTCATCCTGATTGTCCAATCATACCATTAAACACAAAGTTCGACCACAGATGCATATGAAGAAGATGAAATTGAAAAAGTACCTTAACAAACTTGATTAGAGAGCTCATATCAGCAGGGAGATATTCTTCAGCCTTCTCAATTAAAACTGTTGGGACAGTACCCCCCCTTCACAGATATGTAAACAATGTTGAGGTATAAAGCAGCGTATGGAATTCTATATAAATATAATATTATGGATTTATGGTAGGCTTGTAGCATTTTGGCTAAAACAACTCAATACCAAATCAATGCATAGTCATTGCTACTTATATATTGCTAATGTTGAAATGTTAAAATAATTTCGTCAAAGAATCATTTTAAAGAAATTCCGTAAAAAAAGAAATATTAAAACAATAAATAATGTAATGGTTATTTATTGGATGCCTGCCTCTACAATTTTTTTGTAACCCTAGTAGAGGATTTTAAGTTGCAAGTGAACCATTCTATAATTTGACAATATCTTCTTAATCACTTTACATCTGACTGTGGTCTGTGGACACAAAATTGACTTGCAGACCCACAGTTATTGGATAAAATAAAACTGAGCAACAAAATGTCCTGTTTTAGTAAAACTCATTAAAACTAGCCAAATAAACCTGCTTTAGAAGTTTTTCACTTACCAGTTAGCTAGGTGCTTCTTTATATTATTCCTTCTTCCGTTTAAAGTAGAAATTACTTGTTTCCATTCAGGTGGATCACTGTCTCTCACATTATTGTCTTCAGGTTTGGGTAATGGTTCCCCATGTGGAAGGGGTAATAAATGGATATTTCGCATTTGAACTCCCAAGGATGATGCCAGATTCAAAAGGTCAGCCTTGGACAATGTATCACGGCTAAGAAAAATGAAGAGAACAGTAAGCACGTATTTACATAATTAATTAAGTAATTACTCCCATTTTGACTTGAGAAATGAATAAAACTTACACACGAGCAAAGATATCCCCTTTGCATTTTCTCGTAACCATGTAAGGCCAAATAGGTTTGTTTGAACATTCAGTGGAACTATCCATTCCAAACTGCTGTTTGCTCCATAATCCAAGAGGAAAACAGCTGTTTGTGTAAGAAAGCTCCAGAGGATAGTATTTAGCCAAAACATCTGGCATTCCTTTTCCATCCCATGGGACTGTTCTGTAGACGCCATCTTCGTACACAAGAAATCCACTTGCAATGATCTCAGGGACGTGATTGATCAAAGGCGAGCCAACTTTTCGCAGAAGATTATAGAACTCAAGCTGCATCAGGAAAGTGATCAATATCGTGAGTGTTGCATTTAATTTTATTAAGTTGCAGAACCAATGCAACATTACCTCTGTGCCTAAACCATGGGCAGAATAACCCAGGCCTCCTTCAGCATAGATTTTAATCACATTGTCAGAAACAATGAAGACCTGAAAAATTGTGGTACAGGTTATATTCACATACCATGCAACAATGAGTGTATATGCAGCGCAATATGACACTAACTGGCATCATAGGAGTATCTTAGAATCTCAGATATGTTTAATGTCTTGGCATTGGCGCATAGCAGTGAGCAAGTATGTATATCTATAAATCTTCTAAAGTCGGAACCAACCTTGCAAGGCAGAAACCACAGATGCAGTAACAAGTAAACCAGGATATTCTACACGAATCAATTTCTGTGAGAAATAACCCTAACATGTTGAGTAAGTATTTCAAACCAACACGAATTACATGATACTAACACGACAGAATTATTTATTGACAGTTGTAAATCTGAGACAGCAAGTAAAAGTAATTGTATACTTACTGGGTTGCTACCTGTGCCAACAGGAAGCTTCTCATCCTCTGACGGTGGTGGTAAACTATGGCATGCACTTATTTCCTCTAAGCATGCATACCATTTGTCCACACTTATTGCTAGGCATGCACCCTACAGGAACAGACATATATGTTGGCACAAGGAACAAAACATTATCAAGAAACAGATATATAAACCACATGGTATTTCATATAAAAATTGACAAAGTAAAATTTATGTAAATGATGGAACAAAGATCACCTTCCATATTAGTCCTCTCAGTTCAGGCTTAAGAACCCATAGCCTTCGCAGCCATTCTCTTGCTTCTCTCTGGCCAATTGGATTAGTAGGACTCCAGACAGAAGTATAGTGATCTTTTTCCTTCTCAAGAAATTGGGATAAGAAACCTATATCATACGAGAAAACTTGGTTCTCCAAACTTTCATGGACATCTGAGAACTCAAATGAAGCACACTGATTTGCACTGTTTGAAGCTCTTCCGGACCCTGAACCTTTCAGTCTTTTTTCTGCACGAGTCATGTCATTGTGGTTCCATGCACTCATTGTTCCAGGCGGATGATTTTCAATATCTCTAATAGATTTTCCTGGAACAGCAAGTAAGCCAGCACGACAAACTCCTTTGTGACAGTGACCAGGTGCCATGTCTAGACATACATGCTCAAAATTTGATTGATTGACAAAGTTTTGTGTAACTGCGACAGTAGTCTCAAGGTTTAGAACACAATGCCACCATCCACTAGGAACAAATATGGTCTCTCCTGGTAATTGTGTGCATTCCAGTGGTTTCTCGTGTTCAGCAAGATGAGGATAGATATCAAGCCACCACTGCAAACGATCAAAATAATATGAAATGATATGGGGGCAAAGTTTGGAGAAAAGCAAAAACAGTAACAAGTTATTACCTGCAAAGACGTTGGAGTCTCAATGTCAACATCACCATCCTCATCACTTACATGTACCGTGACACCACCAGGCACTCTTCCTGGAGGGTACAGTGCCCATCTATGAAAAAAGGTGGATATCATTAATGGAAACACAAATTCTTGCCCCTTCCAAATTTTCAGCATTGTACAACATGGGACAATCAGCTTTAACAGGTCAAGAGGAGTACAAGTTTAGGTATAGCATATCCTCGCACCGTTCACAGTATAGGGTTACGATTTTTAAGTTTCAATTAAAATACAAAAGCATGCACTCAAGTTGAATCACATCTTTCTACTGCCCACGGCTATCTTCTGTCTCTGTTCAACATATATGAATATGCGTAGGATTCTCGCTTGATTCTCTCTCACTCCCAAGACATTAACTATGGACATCCTGACTAAATTTGTCTATCGTCAATTCAACACACCCAATTGGCTGATTATTTCTACACAACTGTTTTTTCACATCAGATTATAAAATAAGCAACACACAGAACAGCGACCACAAACTGCATCAAAATAGAAGCACTGCAATGACCTTAAAGAACCAATAGGCAAGAAATTTTGCACAAGATCTGTGAACATTTATTTAAGGATCCTGATAAGTGCCACATGTCAGGTACGAGCACATGGCAACTCCGAACGTTTTTGATGGGAAGTTTAGTGACGCGGGGATGGCAACTTTCGTGCTTCAGTTTATTTTTTGACAGAAACATGCCGTGTGTCACTGGAATTTGCCATCCTTGCGTGACTGTAATTGCCATCGAAAAACATCAGGGCCGGAGTGCCACGCACCTGACGTGTGGCACTTATCATTTGGGTTATTTAACTGCTACTAGTAGCTTTCAAATTTACAATCACATGGTGAATACCACAGCTTGAGTACACTATCGAGTAAATACGCACACACACATATATATAACACATGATCCAACCTTTTTCGGCCACAAAGAAGAGTATTCCACGCACTGGTTAACCCTGGATCAACATGCCAAGAGGCACCTGATCTTTCTGGTCCAATAATAAGCCATCTGAAAGCAGGTCTTTGTTCATAATCCAAGACACCAAAAAGATCTTCTTGAAATAAATGAGGTACTCTGTAATCTTCCAATAGTGCTGGTGTTGTTTCTCCAAACTGTAACAATTTCCTGAAATAAGTTTCTTTTTCTTTCATAACTTTAGTAGTAAATGGAATGAAGTGATGATTACCTTATCATCAAATATATAAAGAGGATCTTCATCATGCTGGAGTTCCATGTAAGAAACATAGTCTTTCAGTTTCATTATTATCTTCTTAGGGCTTCTTTGTGATATCCTAAATGTAACTTCACCATAATCATGCACCAGCTGCTGAATTGCCCATTTAGTCCTTGCTGGCCAGGTTTCAGCCAGCTTACCAAGCAAAACCTAGTTGTGCAATACCATCAGTATGATTTCAGAAAAACATCATTGCAAAACAATAATGTAGAAAATCCACATGTTGTAAATCTGAATTAAAAGCAAAAGATAATTCAATTCTTACTGGGCCTTTTCCATCATACTGAGAATGGAAATGATCCAAAGAAAGGTCATCCTTTCTTTCCACATGTCCATTGTCAAAGGAATAATTACTCAAAGTAGTAAAACATCTATACCATCTCCTGTATAAGAACAAGGAATTGAATCCTGCATGAAAATAAGTATGAATAGGGAGATAAACAAGGCAGATAGAACAAACATAAAGTAGATGTACCATACCATCAAAATGACGAGCCTTCTGCTCAAGCTCACTATTTCCGGAGCAAAGACTAAGCCTGAAAACGAAAGAATCAGTGTCTAACCTTTTCAGTCAGTTTAGGATTATTTTCAAATACAGAATGTAACACGACAATATAGAATGGTCATATACCTAGACAATGTTGTTTTCTTCCAAGAACCTTTGTACTCAAGATGACCACCAACAGAAAGATATTTACTCATCCAGAGAGGTTCCTCGTTGCAAAGTATGTACATGACACTGCAAAGTGAAAAAGATTTAAGGTACTGCTTCATCCTACCACCATTTTAAGGTAGAAACACAAACATGACAGATGGTCTTAGCTCATGATCTCTAGATAATGACAATGTCATAAATCAGGAACCACTTCCTCTGATACTCTAAAACCTGCCGTTTAGGACACATACATGGCCTTCAAAATACAATGTGGACCACTAGTTTCTTTAAAATCATCCATAAAATCTAAAAGAATTGTATATTATGGAAATACTTCTCGAGACAAATTCACTGATTTTCAGGTATCTAATATAAATGATCGTAAAGATAATACTGGTAGTCAAAATTTCAAAAAATTGGCTCTCCCTTTGTCTAAAATGACAGCTTTTACAGGACTGGGGGAGTATGCTTTTATACCTGTCCAGCCCAAAATAGGTGATTTTTTATTGCGGTGCACACAGAACATGAAAGAAACTAGTGCTTCATGATTTTTCTCTATTTAGCTGTATAGTTATTATGTTTTTACTTCTACTACGTACTAGTCTAGTACGACTACTAATACCAATAAGCATTTGTGGATTGTTGCATAAGAAAAAAAAGCATTGAGAAGCAAAACAACTCCATGAGGTCCAGGGAAGGGGAGCCTTGGCGCAGTGGTAAAGCTGCTGCCTTGTGACCATGAGGTCATGGGTTCAAGTCCTGGAAACAGCCTCTTACAGAAATGTAGGGAAAGGCTGCGTACTATAGACCCAAAGTGGTCGGACCCTTCCCTGGACCCTGCGCAAGCGGGAGCTACATGCACCAGGTTGCCCTTTTTTAAGCAAAACAACTCGCTAACATCTATTTCGGATCGGAGACAATACTCTGATAGTAACGTCAGTTTCCATGTCTTTTAATTCTCTGGAACAAATTGATTGTTATATTTTACTTAGAGAGTTATAATACCAAACACACGAAAGGATCGGCCCTAAATATGCAGGCTTGGCTTAGTTACAAATATGCCATGGAGCAGTCTAATTCTAGAGGATAAACATGAAGAACGGATCAAATATGTCTTCGGTCTTGGCAGCTAGGCAACTCTCTTCGTCCTAAATCTTAATTCATAGATTGAGGAAATATTTTTCTTGAGTTTATAAAAGAAACATATTAGTAAAGAGAGTCCAACATACAGAAATGAACACGGGCGGTTTTGAGTTTTGACCATTGAGCTGATCCAAATGTTCCACATGTAAGTTTCATTTAAATCCTCAGGAAACATATCGCTGGGTCTCATTTATGTGCATTATAAAACCTTCTGTCACTTTAAAGAAAAATCTGGCCGCCATATTTACTTGAAACAATTCCTTACTTAACACTATCTTAAATTTCGTTTCCTTATTTGACACTGAAAACCTTTTTCTTCCTTATGTAACAACGAGTCTAAATTTTATGCCTTTTATAACACTTTCGTCTATTTTGAGCCTAAATGACAACTGAAAAGATCCTTTTGCCCCTCATGTGGTGTGTGTGTGTGCGGGACAATAACACACGCACGCAACATCAGCGCGAGGGCAGTAGCACACACAACACACACACAGCAGCACGCACACACGCAGCACACACACACACACGCAACACACTCACAGGTAGCAGCACACACGCACGCATCAACAACACACACACACACGCAGCAACACACACAGCGAAGTAATATACATCCAGTATTGTAGTAAGTTCTTTCAAAATTATATCATACATGATTTTCTCCTTCATAAACTCCGCCACACCAGAAAAATATTCCTGCCTCCGCCACTGCACGCACCACGCATGCACACAACAGCATGCACGTACACACGCAGTAGCAAACTCACACACAGCAGCACACGCGCGCGTGCACACACACACACACACACACACACACACACATATGCAGCAGTAGCACATACATACGCGCACACAAACAGACGCTACATCACAGGCAAGCGCACACAAACATACCGCATGAGGGCAAAATGGTCATTTCAAGTGTCATTTAGGCTTAAAATGGACATAAGTGTTATAAAAGACATAAAATTTAGACTCCTTGTTAGATAGGGAACAAATTATTTGTCAATGTCAAATAGGGCATAAATTTTAGACACGGTGTTAAATAAGGAATTCTCTCTATTTACTTTCCCATGGATGATCTTTTCTGTAGCGGTAGCTCATAGGACCATATATGACACAACAAACCTCCGTTCTTCCCAGTAGCTCATACCATCATACCGCCGCCATATGTGCCATTTGGCCCAAGCGACCATAACCAAACAAAATTCAGAATCACGCATGGCTAGCTGGTCCACTTGGGTTGGAGTGGTCACCATTAAAATCAAAGGGCAAACCTCAGAATCCACATTCTTAGCTAACACATGGAGGTAACTGCAAAGCAGAGGAGAAAAGAACAGAAGGGCGAGAGAGAGAGAGAGAAAGACGCGGCGACCTGCTGACGCATGCGAGGCGGCCGATGTCGGTGGGCTCGAGGAGGTCGACGATGGCGCAGAGCAGCTCGTCGGGGAGGACCGCCAGGCTCCCCAGCGCCGCGTCCCTCCGGTCGTTCCCCGCCGATTCCATCGCCGGCGACCGGGCCGGATCGGTGGGCTTGCTGGGTTTGGGTGCGTGCGGGGAGGGAAGGGGGAATTGCGCGTTGTTCGAGTTGAGCCGGGATGGACACGGACCGCGTGACCACGCGGTGGGCCGGAGGAATTTATTTATAGTGGCTAGCTTTTTTAAAAGCTTGGACGCGTATTGGATTCGTTGATGCGGCCTGTCGACTCCATCGTTCAGGAGGGGGGCACGCAACTATTCAGACTTGTACCCCTCGAAAAAAAATGTTCAGACTTGCCCGACATCTTGAGCTTGGGCAAATGCGGTTCGAAACGAGGAGGGCGTGATAGCCCCTTAAGGCATTATGTCAAAGCTTAAAGGTTCCAGATGATAGTTGTTCAAGGTACTCGGCCTTCATGCCTGAGATAATAAGCCTGGATTTTAATTTTAGGGCGTGTTCGGTAACCCTCCAGCTTCTTAACTCCTCAATTCCAAACCAGAAGTTCAGCCGAACAGTTTAAATCTTGGTTATGAGAGTGAGAAGTTGGCTATTTGTGTAGTGTAAAATTGAAGGAGTTGTGGAGTTGGAAAAGGCGAGCTCCCATGAATCGAAGGAGCGGGAGTTTGAGTGAAATTACTAGCAACTGCCACCGCCAAGTGAACGTCGTGCGTACCGATTCAATCCCATCCCACACGACCGCTCTATCCCCACGATCTCCTTTTCTCGTTCCTCTCACACAGCCGTCGAGCCCATCGGCCCACGTAGCGGCCGCCGCCCTCCTAGCTCGCCGTCTGCCCCGCTGGCCGCCCACCCCGCCGTCTCTATCGTCCTCCACTGCCGCCGTTTCAATCCGCATGAGCTGCCGAGGATGCGGGAGCGACGGCCGGCGCTCCCATCCCTGAGCTCCTCTCCCCATCAGTCGCTCATCGTCCATCTGCGGCAACTTTGGCTTCCGTGTGGCCGTCCACGGTGATAGGGTGGTGCAGGCATGCTGGTCCTCACCTCCATCCTTCAGTCACGTTGACGAGCGATGCAGGATGACTAGGGGGTCTGATTGTAATCTTGTTTTGTTTATTGAGGTGGTTTGTGCTAATGTGTATGACACCTGTGCTTGCCAAACTAGAATTTGATGTGTCGAACGGATGGTTAGCTCCCAGATTTTCAACGAGAAGCTGGCTGCTGGATGTTGGCTGAGGAGTTTGAGGCTGTAGAGGGTTTACCGAACACGCCCTTAGTTGGCTCGATGCGAGACTCGTCGAAGTGCATCTTTTTTAGCATCTCAGCGTAGATGAGGTTTAACCTGCTGTCATCATCCATCATGACCTCAATGAGGTGGAAACTGTCAACTATCGAGTCCAGGACGAGCGCAGTTGTTCTGCCATGGCAGACGCTGATCGGATGCTCACATTGATCAAAAGTGATCAGGATTTTTGGCCAGGGATTGTATTTTTCTTCTGCGGGCTTCACATCATATCCCTCGTGGAGGGCGCACTTTCCGATCCTTCTTGAAGGTGTGAGATGCATATATCATATTCACGTCCTTTATTTGTAGCGGGCAATGCGTTTGCCCGTCGTTCCCTTTGTCGGGCTCATCCTCGTCGTTATTGTTATGAGGGTTCGCCTTGTCCGCATTGCTGCTTCCGATCTGCAAGACTTTCTTGTGGACCCAACAATTCTGGTTAGTGTGGGTAGTTGGCCGATCTCCATCGCCAGGGTGGATGGCACAAAGCCGGTCTAAGAACTTATAAGCGGCGAGCTGGTCCCCTCCCTTCTTGCCTTGGAACTTCTTCCTTTTGCCACCGCCACCTTGGCGCTGATTGTTGAATCCGACGTTGACCTCGCCATCTTCGTTATTGTTGTTGTTCCGATGCTTCTTCCTATAGTTGCGTTGTGATTTCCTGCTTTCTCTGCAGCCATGTATCTTCACCAGAGAAAAATATGATCATCATCTCCCTAAGCTCGGGAATAGCCTTGGGTTTGAATTGACCGATGGCTTGAGGTATATCTCCATGTAAGCTAATTTCCTTGCAAATGTTCTTTACACATGGGCACGAAAAAAAGGCAATGTTGGATGTCTTCGACTCTTATTAGGCAGACTTGGCACTAACTTGTTGGTGAGACATGCCTACCAGCAAGTGCACCAAGGCAATGAAGCGTGCCATGGAGTACCTTCCAAACAAAGTGCTTAAGTTTTCCTGGAACTCGAAGATGCCAAAGGGCTAGGAATCCTAAAAGTGCAACTAATTCCTGGGTGATTTTTGGTAATTCTTAGCAACATATAGCTCATTGAACTAATACTCTTTCAAGATAATCATTTCAGAAAGTTCAATGATTAGCATGGCATGCACTAGAGATGTGGATCCCTCAAAATGCTAAGGACACATATTGGCTCAAGCTCAAGACTCTACATTTTCATTTTAGTGATCCAATATCACATTCAGTCCATAGGAAAAGCCAATACTATTAAAAGGGGATGAGGTGTTGCTTAATGGCTTGCTTGCTCAAAATGCTTAGTGATATGCTTCAAAAGCCCTCAACCACTTTCTCATATCCACATATGTCCCTAACCAAAAGTCAAACTCGGCACCACCGGTTTCATCTATCTGGCGCCACCGAGTTCATTTGACATAGCCACTGCTAGAAACCCTAATCGGTTCGGTCTCACCCAGATGGGATTGCAAACTCTCTGTTTCCCTTCGTAACATTTTGGTCTAACCGGGATGAGCGATCAGTCCCACCGAGTTCCCAATGCAAACTCTCTGTTTCCTTTTCGTAACGTTTCGGTCTCACCGAAATGAGCGATCGGTCCCACCGAGTTTGCCTGACCAACTCTCTATTTGTCTATTGCAGAAATCGGTCTCACCGAGTTCATGTGATCGGTCTCACCGAGATTACGTTATACCCTAACCCTAATGAAATCGGTCACACCGAGTTGACATGTCGGTCCCACCGAAAATCCTAACGTTCATATTTTGAACTAAATCGGTCTGACCGAGTTTAACTATTCGGTCCCACCGAGTTTGGTAAATTATGTGTAACGGTTAGATTTTGTGTGCAGGCTATATATACCCCTTCCAACATTCGTGGAGAGAGCCATCAGAACGTGCATACACTTCCAACATTCATTTTCTGAGAGAGAACCACCTACTCATGTGTTGAGACCAAGATATTCCAATCCAACCACAAGAATCTTGATCTCTAGCCTTCCCCAAGTTGCTTTCCACTCAAATCATCTTTCCACCAAATCCAAATCTGTGTGAGAGAGAGAGAGTTGAGTGTTGGGGAGACTATCATTTGAAGCACAAGAGCAAGGAGTTCATCATCAACACATCAGCTATTACCTTTTGGACAGTGGTGTCTCCTAGATTGGTTAGGTGTCACTTGGGAGCCTCCGTCAAGATTGTGGAGTTCAACCAAGGAGTTTGTAAGGGAAGGAGATCGCCTACTTTGTGAAGATCTACCTAAGTGAGGCAAGTCCTTCGTGGGCGATGGCCATGGTGGGATAGACAAGGTTTCTTCTTCATGGACCCTTCGCGGGTGGAGCCCTCCGTGGACTCGCGCAACCGTTACCCTTTGTGGGTTGAAGTCTCCATCAACGTGGATGTACGATAGCACCACCTATCGGAACCACGCCAAAAATCTCCGTGTCTAAATTGCGTTTGCTCCCTCCAAACTCATCCCCTTTACTTCATATGCAATGATTTACATTCCACTGCTATACTCTTAGATTTGCATGTGTAGGTTGATTGCTTGACTTGTAATAAGTTGCTAAAATTTGCCAAGACTTAAAATCAGGAAAAGGCTAGATTTTTATTTGGTCAAGTAGTCTAATCACCCCCCTCTAGACATACTTTCGATCCTACAAATCCGCTCCCCATCCATCTGCACAAGACTGTCGGTGGCTTTATTCATGCTCCCATTCCTTTCGGTAAGACGATCGAGCAGAGAATGTACCTGGTCTAGTGTATTTCCCTGCCACAAATTCATCGATCTCTTGGACATTCCGAGGGATCTGTTGTATTCGTTCAACATCCACCGAAATAATACGTCAAGTATAATCCCATGCACATGTATAGGAGTTTAACAACTTTTGAACATGAGATAGCATGATAGATCCCCTAGGCGTAACAACTTTAAAAGAGACATTGGATGGGATCCAAGGATCCTGTTAGATATTGATTTGAGATCCTGTGTCCAATGAGGGAGTCCTGGATTAGGGGGTATCCGAACAGCCGGATTATATCATTTGGCCGTACTGTTGGACTATGAAGATACAAGATTAAAGACTTCGTCCCGTGTCCGGATGGGACTCTCCTTGGCGTGGAAGGCAAGCTTGGCAATATGGATATGTAGATCTCCTTTCTTGTAACTGACTCTGTGTAACCCTAGCCCCCTCCCGTGTCTATATAAACCAGAGGGTTTTAGTCCGTAGGACAACAGACAATCATACCATAGGCTAGCTTCTAGGGTTTAGCCTCTCTGATCTCGTGGTAGATCAACTCTTGTACTACTCATATTATCAAGAATAATCAAGCAGGACGTAGGGTTTTACCTCCATCAAGAGGGCCCGAACCTGGGTAAAACATCATGTCCCCTGCCTCTTGTTACCATCCGCCTTAGACGCATAGTTCGGGACCCCCTACCCGAGATCCGCCGGTTTTGACACCGACATTGGTGCTTTCAGTGAGAGTTCCTCTGTGTCGTCATCATTAGGCTTGATGGCTCCTTCAATCATTGATAGCGATGCGGTCCATGGTGAGACTTTTCTCCCCGGACAGATCTTTGTATTCGGCGGCTCTGCACTGCGGGCCAACTCGCTTGGCCATCTGGAGCAGATCGAGAGCTACGCCCTTGGCTATCAGGTCAGATTTGGAAACTTGAACTACACAGCCGACATCCACGGAGACTTGATCTTCGACGGATTCGGGCCCTTGCCGAGTGCGCCACACGGTCACGATGAGCATGACTTAGCTCTACCATCGGATAGTGTTCGGGAGATCGCACCGGCGACCGCTCCGACCCTCAA